CCAGGCAGCACTGTTCTAAGTTATTGCCCCAGGGAAACCATTGCATTAGGGCAGTGATACCAACCTCACGAATAGATACTAATCTATATTGTGGCAATCACTCTCTTTGCCCTGCTTAGAAGACACAGTGGTTGACACTGGTATAATTAGCTGTTAAGTTCATTGAGGGCTTATGTGAAAATTATCAGTGACATAGCTTATATCTGGCAAATTTTCTAATAGATTTCTACCTAGAATTAACTTTTTAGAAAAGCACATTTAAAAAGAATTTCTTGGCACATGTCACTCTTAGTGGCATGCATTTCCGATTTGAAAGGACATCTTGTTTCAGGTCCCCCTTTTAAAAATACTTGTGTATTAGCTTGGGAAACTCTAGTGTTCCACATACTTACATGTGGCTTTAGTTTTATTTAACCAGAACCTCGTAACTACCCCTAGAGTATAACCATTATTTTAATATTGCCAATTCTTCTTTGTGTTAATTCCTCATATACAAGGACAACTAGAGGATCTTTTCTGATTTAAGACCAAGTATCTTTAACTTTTTTTACAAAAATTAAAGGGCAAAATTGTCAACAAGTTATCTAATAAGGATATAGTTAGCTGTACGACAAAGCATTTGTACTAGGGAATAAAACAAGCTAAAATAACTAAACATTTTACAGGAGATCTAATTTTGGCTTAGCTGTTTTCATCATATTCCCTTAGATAAATATAAAGATAATTATATAGTTGTGGGAATTTCCAAGATTGCCCAAATATATATGTTGAAATTACATGTGATTATTTTGCATTCAGTGTGCAAAGGTAGTTGTAGTATAACTATTCAGATTTTGGTGAGGAACACTGTAGTTGTATCAACATACCATTGAAAATGCAGTTCCAGAGTACAAGGAAACTACACAACTATTAAGTCTCTGTTTTCCCAAGAAGAAAGAAGTAGCTTTCTGGGATGAGTTGTGAATTTATAATGTAATGAAATGTATAGTTTTGGTCTTTTTTAAAGGATAACCATTGGCTATTTATTTCCACTTTATCAGTGTTAATGAAGAAACCTACAGTTCTACTTTTATAGTTCGTGATGTTTTGTATCTCAGAATTGCTTGAAATATGGATAGCCAAGGGAAAGTATGAATGGGGTTTTTTTTAAAAGAACCTAAGGATTTTGAACATGAACAAATTCTGGAAAGCTAATCTATAAAACGGAGATTTGCTGCTTTCAGCATAATTCCAGCTGGAAGGAGGTAGGTTAATGGAGAAAAGTTACACAGAGGGAGATTTTTGAGTAAGTTTCAGGAAGACCTTTTTAATAAGCTGTATGTAACAATGACTCAGTTGTCATGGGACACGTGACTGTTCTGTCTTGGACATTTTTAAACAGAGGTTAAAACCCGTCAACCATATTTTATAAGGGAAGAGGAAAACCTACATTGAATTAAAACTAAATGGCTATTCGAAATATGAACATCAGTAAATCTGATTTATTCTCCGTTCTCAGTCTCGTTTGTGAAGTGCGATACCTGCTGCGGCAGTAGATTGTGTTAAGAATTATATTGACGGTTGCGTGCTGACATGAAGTTTAGCCCATTCTCTTATTTTAATTGCATTTTCAATCTATCAGTTAATGTTGTTATGTTTTCCTTCTTAGCCATGTTATTGTGCCTTTTTTTGTAAAAGGAGGGAATGTAAAGGGGCTTTTTGTCAAGAAACCATCCATCCCACCAGTATCATAGAACACCCACTATATGCTAGCATCAGAAGCAAGGGGCAAAGGGTCAAAATTTATCATGTTGTGCTACCGTTGCTTCGTTTCTTTTATCTCTTGATCTCTGTAGCCCTGTAGCCCTGACAACAGATCGTGCTGAAATCAGAAATAAATAGCCAAAGATCACCCTAACAAATGACCAGAAAAATAAATAAATTCCCTTATATCATAGACCCAACTCATTCCACAAAAAAAAGCATATGAGTCAAATAAACACTGTACTTTGCAAGTTGAGTATGGCTGAATTGAGGCTAGTTATAATGTTCTATTGGCTGTTACCTGGGTGCAACCATAATTCTTGACAAGGGTTACACATTTTTGCTTTAGGAACAAGGTCAGCAACATACCTATGCTAGTGTGCTACTGGATGAACTTCATAACCAAGAAGCTCATAACCAAGAAGAAAGTAATAGCAGAAAAGATAGAATAAATGAAAAAATAGGGAATAAGTAGGACTATAAAAGCCAAGTCCATCATTCCTACTTCGTAGCATAGCTAGGTTTTATTTCTTGACTGTAGCATATTAATATATGTACCCTTTTTAACTTTAAATGTTATAATTTTCCTAGGCTGTGTGTTATGGACATTCCAGTCCATCTTTACAAAAAGATATATGAGGCAGCATTGCCCCGTGCTTAACATCTTACAGCCTCTTATGTAGCCTGGATATTTCTGTATTTTAATACCTAATATCTATTTGGGTGGTGAAGTATCATCAAAGTTAATTTTTTTCCCTAAACACTCTATGGATTTTCAGTCATTTCTTCTTGAGAATGACTAACTTGGGCATGTGGACAATAGAAGAACTGCTGTTTCCATCGTTTGTCATGCGGCACTGCTCCCTTTCACGTCTGTGGCTCTTGGCGGGAGACAACTACAGAGAAGGCCAGGGCTCACCACTGTCCCCAGTATTTGAGGCCACATCAGCTATTTCAGGTTTAAAAACTCCTTTTTCTTGCCTTTAGCCTCTATTTAAAAACTGTCACAGAAACAAAATACCCGGGGAGTTTGCCAAATGAGATGCTTTCCTTGCCCTAGAAATGCTCAATGAAATGGAGGCTACCTGCACTTCTGACCCCAGTTATGGAATAAGTATCATGCAAACTCGACTCCATTTTAGAAATTCGACTTTATACTGCATCCTCGTCCACATATTGAACTTCTAAATCAGCCATTGTGTGCAGGGGATATTTAGGTTTCATTTTAACACATTGACTGCCACACTACAAAAAAATTTTTTCCCTCTGGGGCCACATTTTTTATTATGAAAATAGAATAAAAACTTCCAAAACAAAACGATCCTTTCTAATTTAATG